TTTCTTGGAGCAAGATTTGGTTGTGATAGGTCCCTAGCACATAAGTGGCATTATATGATTGGTTAAAGGTGCCTGTTGTTCTATTTATTACAGGGTGGACTGAGGACTAGTTTTTCTGGTCCTCATTTGTATCTGTTTCAATAATGCTGTATCTTAAGACCCATCTTGCATCTGTTCCTCTATTATAACAAAGACCCTTTGGGAATAGATTAGATACCCTGTGCTGGTCAGACCTCAGGGAAAAGGAATGTTGCCTTGAGGTATGGGGTCAGGTCAGTCATCAAGGTTAAAGGGAATGTCACTTGGAAAGGCAGCTTTGGAAACTGAACATGTCATTTCAAGACTTGAAAATGGAGTTCAGGCTCTGCTTTTCGATTGCCCTATTTAGAGTGAAAGAGAAGAACTTCAAAATTAATTGACCCAGTGACTGTTAACAGTGGGCTCAGGTAAATAAAAAATGATAAGGCTGGCACAGGATAGGATAGCACGAAATTCTGACTTACTGTTCATAGGGACGTAGTCAGCTGGATGGCACCTAACAACATTTACACCATGGCACCTCGGATGTTATTGCTAATGTTAGATAGGTCTCAGCTAAATGCAGAGAATGCTAGAAGAATGTCTATCTGTGTTTTATTGATTATGCAAAGTGTTTGACTCTGTGGATCACAATAAATTATGGCTAACATTGAGAAGAATGGGAATCCCAGAGCACGCACTTGTGCTCATGCAAAACCTGTACCTAGATAACAAGGCTATTTGTCCCAGCAGAGCAAGGAAACACTGCATGGTTTAAAATCAAGAAAGATGTGTGTCAGGACTGTATAGTTTCTCCATACATATTCAGTCTGTATGTTGAGCAGATTATGCAAGAAGCTGGACTTTATGAAGAAGAATGTAACATCAGGATCAGAAGAAGACTCATCAACAGCTAGCGTTATGCAGATGACACACCTTTTGTGCTGAAAGTTAGGAGGACTTGAAATGCTTGCAGCAGAAGGTCATCTACTTCAGCCTTCAAAATGAATTGCATCTTAACATCAAGAAAACAAAAATCTTCACTACTGAGTCAATAGGCAGGATGATGATAGTTGGAGAAAAGATTGAAATTGTCAGTAATCTTACTTGGATCCACAGTCAATACCCTTAGTACAACAATCAATAAATCAAAAAGATGTGTTGCATTGGGAAAGTCTATTGTCAAGGACCTGTCCAAAGTTTTAAAGAAAAAGATATCAGTCTATCTGATTCAAGCTATCTCTTTTCCATTACTTGCTGTGACCTGAAAGCTATACAGTGACTAAGGATGACAGAAGAAGACTCAGTGCATCCCTTTGAGTTGGGATGTTGGAGAAGAGTACTAACTATCCCATGGACTGCCAAAAGAATAAACAAATATGTCTTGGAGAAAGTACAACCAGGATGTTCATTGGAGGGAAGGATAGTGAAACTTCATCTCATAAACTTTAGGCATGTTGTTATGAGGGACCAGTCTTTGAAAAGGACATTATGCTTTAAAGGTGGAGGGTCAGCATAGGAGAGGCAGACCATCAATATGATGGATTGACACAGTGACTGTAATGATGGACCCACTTATATCAGAGATAATGAGGATGGTGCAGCATAGAGCCTGGTTCAGATCTGTTGTTCATAGGATTGTTATGAGTTGCCAGCAACTTGACAGCTTATAACAGCAACATTTGTACACAAACCAAGTGCATCTGATTTTAGATTCTTGAATACAGCCACATATTTAACCACTGTGTTTCCAAGGCTGTTTATCTTCAAAATGGGAGAAGATTGCCTATCATTTTCCTGCAGGTTTTGAACCACAGACTTTTTGATAGCAGCCAGACACTTGTGCACCACTAGAGTAAGTACTTGGTAAATCATGCTATCTATCATAATTACGGTTCTGTCCTCTCTAGGAGCTCTGGTGCTGCACTCTGTACAGAGTGTGCTGCCCACTCAGAGGCCATGCCTCTCTGGCACTTTGTACCGTGAGCAGCTCCTCATTGTTTATAGGGTCGTGCTCAACGTGAAGGCAACCAACAACAACAACAGCACCTCCTCAGGAGGAAAATGGAGAAGCTCCTCTGATTTACAGCCTCAGAAACCCAGTGGAGCGTAAACTATGAGTCAGTTCCGACTCAAAGGCATTGGTATTTTTATCTCTTAGAGGAAGATGCCATTTCTTCTTCTAATACTTACCTAAGCAGCCCCATATGTTTAATATTGCTCATAGTTTCTTAGGATCCTATATAGATATAATTTAAAATTTTTAAAATGTAAAATATATTTTAAAAATTAAGACAATTTTAGTATCTGAGTTCAAGTGTTATAAGACAGAGCTTTAAATAGCAAAGACTTGGGTTAACTTGCTGACAAATTAATTTTTGCCTTTGTATTTATTTAATTGAAGCCTGTGCTGGTATGCAATAATAGACTATAAAAATGTAAAACAGACTGCAAAACAAGAATTTGCTATTTGAAACTATATTTTTGTAAGCTTTAATAATGTGATAAAAAATTGTAGCTGATAATCATAAGCAAAAACTATATGCCTTACTTTCATAGTTTTGTATTCATTCTAGAGAGACATTTTGTGTTCCCATTATTGATTTTATAATAATTTTCTAAATTTACATTAAAAATTTATCAGTAACTTTTGTAAAGGACTGATACTTATATAGAAAAACTTCCAAGTCAGGACCTATGTAAGGGAGAAACATATCAGAAAAAGAAACATCAAATATTTTCCACTAAAATTAGGGATAGAAATATGGCAAGACTGCACCCAGTCAAAAGTGGAAAATATGGGAGAATCAGAAAAACAAAACAATCAAGGCAGGTTCTGGCTCTGACAGACTTCACTTCCCTGCTCCCCGCTACCCCCAACTGTGATTTTAACAAAAATTTACAGAAAAGTTGGATTTTCATTGTTTAATTTTCCTCCACAGCTTACTTTTTTTTAAAAAAAAAATCATTACTGAATAATTTCTCCCTCCCTCCCCGTGTTTCACTTTAACTGACTATATATGTTTGTTAATTTATTTAGCAAGCGTTCAATTCACAGTTGTTTTTGGTAGACCTTATCCTCTAGACTTGAAGATTGTTATGGGGAAGAAAAAAAGACACCCTTGCTGCAAACCTATTCTGTAGATAACCTTTTACTAAGACAGTCAGGACAAAGAGAAATTATGCCTCAATGAAGGAAAACTTGAGCATGAGATGGAGCTCCACTGTATTGTGACCATGGCTTTCATTTATACAATAGGAAACAAAAGTATCATCAGATAAATGGTGGCAATTGACTATCACCATTACAGGTTGAATTACTGAAGCAGGCAGGAGAGTATGACGGGGATATATATATATATGCACACAATTATAGATTTTAAAAGCTTACAAAATTCAGCGCCCTTGACCACATGACTGTGTAGGTTAGGTAAGGTCATACATAACTCATGACCATGAGGTTTACTGAGCAAGTCATTAAGATAGGGTCTGGAGAGTTCCTTGTTTTCCCTGAACACCCCCTGGGTGAATTGCTCCTCCCTAGGTTTACCTGGAAATCATAATATACTTCCCATTGTACTTTTCCTAAGGGTAAACACTGGGATAAAGTTCCTGGGCATGTCAGAACTTGTTTACCAAACTACGTGCAGGTGTAATGGCGGTGGTGATAGAGGGAAAGCATGTAAAAAATCAAAATGGAATTGGAGTTCTTGTACCGAGTATGGTCTTCCACAAGGGGAAATTTTCTAACAATATCAAACCCAAGCAAAATCCTGCCAAAGATGATCCACAAATGACTGGAGTAACCAGACATCCAAACCGGGATTAATAGGGGCTGTAACACAAGAAACATTGTAGCCAGTGTCAGATAGATCTTGGCTGAAAGCAGAAGAGTACCAGAGAAATGTCTGTGTTTCATTGACTGTGCAATCATTTGGCTGCATGGATCACAAGAAATTGAGAAGAACGGGAATCCCAGAACACCTGATTGTGCTCATTCAGTTTAGATTAGAATAGATTCAGGAGGCTGTGCTTACTGTAAGGAGGAATGTGGTGTCAGGATCAGAAGAAGACTCATCAACAACCACCTGTGTTCTACAGATGATGCAACTTTGTTTAGTGAAACTGAAGATGACATGAACCATTAGCTGCAGAAAGTCAGGGACTGCAGTCTTCAATATCAATTGAAACGCATCATCAAAAAAGCAAAGATTCTCGTCACTGAGCCAAATGGCAGCACCATGCTAGATGGAGAAGGGATTGAGATTGTTAACAGTTTCCGTTTACTCACTCTATCCACAGTCAGTACTCTTGGCACCAGCAATCAGGAAATCAAAAGAAGAATTGCATTGGGAGAATCTGCTGTTGGGGACCTCTCCAGACTGCTGTAGAGCAACAGTGTCAGTTTAGAGACTAAGGTGTGTCTGATCCAGGCCATTGTCTTTACATTTACTTACTATCAGCAGAAAGCTGGACAGTGATTAATGGTGACAAAAGCCTTTGAGTTGTGGTCCTGGAGAAGAGCATTGAACATACCATGGATTTCCTAAAGAATAAACAGGCTTGTCCAGGAGAAAGTGAAACCACATTGCTCCTTGGAGACAAGGCTTGTCCAGGAGAAAGTGAAACCAGATTGCTCCTTGGAGAAAAAGATTCTGTAACTCTGTCTCATGTTCTTTGGACATGTTCCCAGGAGGAACCAGTCCTTGGAGAGGGAAGGGTAGAAGGACAGTGCAGGAGAAGACCCTTTAGGAGATAGATTGACGACACATTAACTGAGGTAATGGGTTAGGTGTGTTGGAGACAATGAGATTGGCTCAGGATAAGGCAAGGTTCAGAGCTATCGTTCAGGGTCACAATCGACATGATGGCATATAACAACATTAGGTTTCCTCAGAATTTGCATTTGGAAGAGGGAGAAACTAATTATAAAGTATCTTATCTCTTCCTGTCACCTGACAAGCTCTCTATTGCTTTTACAGAGGTCCAGCCGGAGTAAGAGCCCAAGCCTTGGATAGAGATGGAAATTTGATAGACGATTTTGTATTTGATGGAGGGATTGGAGAAATTGGAAGTCGCATTCTTCATGTGAGAAACGCACCTTCCCCAGCTGCCACTTCTTCCCTTGCCATTTCTGCGATGATTGCAGATGAAGTGCAACAAAGATTCGGGTTGTAAATCATGAAATCTCCGCACTCAGAAACAAGAACCTATTTAATGGAATTCTTCGGTTTTAAGAAAATGATTTGGAAATAACATTTTAGAAAATTATTTACAAATTTCATTGTTAGAGGATAACACTCACCTGAGCTGGCACAGAATCACTCAATAATGTTTGATAATGAAAATAGTTTAAGAACATTGTCATTTGTCGAAGTAATTTAAAATTTTTCATTTTCATGAAATCAGTAGAGTTTATTTTAAAAATGAACAAAAACAAATGACTACTGAGTTGTTAAAAATTTGTAACATAGAATTAATGATTTTTTAAAGCCCATGTTTCATGAATAAAGAGGTTTTCCTTGCCTGGCAGGATACTATTCTATCTGTTCCAAATCCCTGATTTTATTAATAACCTATTCTTACCAGCCATAAGCTACAGAAGAGTTAGGACCTTTACATTGTAGGGAATGATGGATTTAAAAATTGGTGATTCCCTTTTTTGGTTTTGCAGTTTCTATGCTCCCCCCCTCCTTCTTTCCTAGACAAGAAAATATGATGTATTGTCTGCAAACTTTCTTTGGGGAATCCCAGAGAAATTCAGCAATATTTGTCTTTGTGCATTAATAATTCTGAAATTGAGAAAAGTATATGAATTTTACATTTTTAAGTAGTCTATATGAGATTTTAGTCTTAACTATAATATTTATCAGAACTTTTTAAAACAAAATCACAGTTTTATATAATTGACTGTGTGTGATGAATAATTGTTATCTATTCTGCAGTATTCTGATTGAGAAAAAAAGAACTTACTATTGGTCCTCCCCTCTACACCCATCCACCCCCTCACCCCCCATTTATTTTTATACAGAACAACTCTAGAATCCTGACACTGGTAGAGAAAATTTTGTCATTTGGAACATTTTATTCCTGTTATTGGCTAGGTCTCAAAACATTAGCCACAGCCACACGTGATTTATGCCTGCTTGTTGGGTTTTTTTTGAAAATAAAGATTTTTTATGCTTACTTGTTTTTTAATAGATCTTATAAACTCTTCTGAGGATGTTTCTCCAGTTTTGGTAAATACCTAAATTTGAGGCATTCACTTTTGTAACCGCAAAAGTGCCTTACATTCATGTGTACGTAATTAGAATTTTTCATTGTTGTCCAGTGCTATATTGTATATTGTGTTATTTGTTGTTAAAATGATTCTTATAGTTTAGGAAACTGTGAAATAGAAATGAAAATGTGACAACCTAAACACTGGAGAAGAACGTTATTCCAGAACTATCCTTTTTTTTTAAATTTTTTTTTCAGAACTATCTTTTAAATGAGATATTTTCATTCTTTTTCTCATCTCTTTTCTCTCAAGACTAATCTTCCAACCTTTGTATTTTCTTTCCTCTTGTTTCTTCAAAGTCGTGTGGTAGATGAGTGGGGAGGATGTGAATCTTGATGATAGGAAGAACTTTCTTATTTCCTTCTTTTTCTCTTCACTTCCAATCTTGGTTATCATGTCAGTTGAACTACCTCATCCATTAATATGAAGGGTTATATACACACATCAGCTCAGGTTCAAGAAGTAGCATATTAATGGGCTAAGCACTTACTTGACACTTGGGCTGAGCATAGTGAAAGCATTCAGAAACCATTCATAGAAGGATCAAGTCTTAGTGATTCTGAAATAGCAACTGATTTCTTTAAGAAAGGCAACACAGGTGTTTTGAAATTCCATAATAAGATTTTTGAGAGACAGAAAAATTCTCTTTCAACAGTAAGATCAAATACACAAAATAAACTCTGGTGGCCTAGTAGTAAAAAGTTGTGCTGCAATCTCAAAGGCATGTGGTTCGAATCCACCAGCTGCTGTGTGGGAAAAGGCTGGACAACCTCCTCTGTGCAATTTACTGCCTCTGAAAACCCCCTGGAGGGTCAGCTATAGGTTGGTTCCTGTCTTGATGGTATACAGCAACAATAACAAGTTATGAAATCCAAAATTACAGTGACAATGGTCTTAAGTACTCTCAGTTTGCCTCTGAACTGTACCCTGGAAATAGTCAAATGAAAAATTTGTTTAAAATATTTTTAATATAAAGATTATCATATTTAGAAAACATTTTATATTTATATCAGTAGGGTTTATTGTTTAGTGATGATAATTTTTCAAGTTTTGTGTATTTCTGTGGGAAAGGAAATTGTATATAAATATTAAAAATATTTTAATGATCCTTGGTGTTGTGGACAACCTAATTTTTAGTTTAATAAAAGCTGTTGCTCAAATTTACTGTTTCTAAAACATGAACTATCATAACTTTCAATACCAGTCAGTCTTAAAGAAAAATAACAAAACCTATATGTTTGTACATGTATGACTGTGTAGATCATAACAAACTGTGGCTGACTCTGAGAAGAATGGGAATCCCAGAACACTTGATCGTTCTAATGCAAAACTTATA